GTCGACGACTTCATCTTTGCCGGAAGCGACCAGCATGAAGGGTGGAGAGAAGTTCTGAAAAAGATTCAGGGTCGATTTCAGTGGGGTGACTGGGAGGAAGACCGTTTTACTCAGTGCGGGGTTCTCATTGAGCATACGCAGAAGGGGATAGAACTTTCCCAGCCTAACTACCTGGAAGGGATAGCTGAAATCGGGATAAGCTCCAGTAGGCGCAAGGACCCCAAAGGCCTCACCTCTGAACGAGAGAGGACGATGCTGCGGGCCCTCCTCGGCGGATTGAGTTGGCACGCTCAACAAATAGCCCCGCATCTGAGCGCAGACGTAAGTCTCTTGCTTTCTGAGGTTGGATGCAGCACCGTTGACACAGTCATTCGCTCTAACATCTTGCTCTCTCATGCTAAGGCAAGAGCCGGCCACAAGATGCTCATACATGCTTACCCGTCAGAGACGGACTTGGGCATGGTGGCGTGGGTGGATGCGGCGTCACAGAACCGCGTCGACGGCAACAGCACGCAGGGCATCGTGGTGGGACTAGCTCCCATGGAGCTACAGAGCGGGGCAGTGTGTGAAGTGTCGTTGATGTCATGGCATTCGTCAAAGATTGATCGCAAGTGCAGAAGCCCCGGTGCTTCCGAGGCTTTGGCAGCCATCAACGGGGAGGACTGCCTCTACTACGCGAGGTACCAATGGTCAGAGCTACTTCACGGTCATGTGGACCTGCGGCGGCCAGACCGTACAGTCTTACAGACACCAGGGTGTCTGGTCACGGACAGCAGGAATGTGTATGACAAGATGCACAACGAAGTCCTCGTGATCAAGGGCGCTGAAAAGCGCACCAGTATAGAATTACTGGGGCTCAAGGAAGCTCAACGAAGAACTGAAGTAGCCATCCGCTGGGTTCACTCCGAAGCCCAGCTGGCGAACAGCTTGACCAAACAAGGCGGGAAGCACGAACTCGAGATGTTCTACAAGATGGGTTTTCGATGGCGCATAGTTGAAGACGAACAGATGATGTCCGCCCGTCGTCGTCGTGAGCTAAATCTTCCACCTCTTGCTCAAAACCCTGGTGTGATGACTTTTAATGAGAAGAGTTCAGAAGTTCCTGCCTAGAAGCCCGGAGGGGAGACCCGGGCATGCAAGTTTCACTTAACTGTCTCTGACGCAGGCAGAGCTGGTCTTCGACAGACGAACGACCGCAGCTACGAAGGATCAAAAGTGCCGTGGCAAGCAGGCGCGCTGTAGTCCGTAGGAGCCATACTCTGCCTCCCGTCTTTACTGCGAAACCTGTTATCCTGCAAAAGATCCTTGACAAGCTCGGGCTAGACGGCTTCTGCAAGCTACCGCTCGCATGGTAGCGGAGCCTCTGTAAGAGGTTCCAAGGAAATCAGTCTTGCAACGATCCAGGGCAGTGGCTCAGAAGCGCGGGGAGCGCATCTGAGAAAGATGAGCGGGGAGTCCGAGAAGGACTCAGCAGCAAGCCGGTCGAAAGACGGCGTGCCGTCATGGAACGGCGAGGCTTCTTCCTTTGTGGCCTACGAGGAATCGGCACGTCTGTGGGAACAAGGCTTGGTATACAACAAGCGCTATACCGCAGCCCCACGGCTGATGGCCGAACTGACTGGAGCTGCCAGGCGTCTGGTGGCCGGTAAGCCGGCGGAAGATGTGGCGTTTGTTGGTGGAGTTCAAGTTCTTTTGAGTTTCCTGCGCCGAGCACTCGGGAAACCACAGGTGAATGAAGTCACAGACCTCCTGGGGAAGTACTTCAAGGGTACAAGGAGGAGGTCGGGGGAATCTATGAATGAGTACATCACTCGGAAGAGTGAGGCCTTTATGAGGGTGAGTCAAGCACTCAAGCGAGTGCAGCCGCATTACCGCAGAGGAACTCGCTCGGAGGGCACCTACTACCGAGGCCGCCGAGGCAGTGATCCATGGAGCATGGCGGGGACCTCAACGTGGAGTCGCCAGACTACGGATGGACAAGATGACGACCAGGATGATAGGCAGGAGACGGCCACCGGGAACGATGGCACGGAGGATGGTGCCAACACAGCATGGGGGAGAGGAACCTCCTCTACCTGGAGCTGGAACAGCGGCTGGTCTGCAGGCAGCTGGGACTGGTATTCGGATACATGGTGGTCCGGGAACCGGTCTGGCTATGGCATGACACCACCCACGTGGAGCTCCTTGGAGGCAGTGGAGGACGAGTCCTTGCTTCCATCCTTCATTCAAGGATGGTACCTCCTGACCGACGCGGCGTTGGACAGCGCCGAACGGAACATCATCACCACGGCATTGGGCGGGGATTATTCCCCCGCCAGAGTGGCCCAGGAGCTTCGGAACCAGTTCCCCGAGCAGGAGTTGCGGCGAAAAGATCATGGACGGCGTTCACATGCCTTTATGAGTGCGGAGGATGCCTACGAGGGCCACGACATCGAGCAGAACGAGGAGCAGGACGAGGACTATGACGAGGACCTCACGGAGGAAGGTGTTGCCATGCTCGCGGATGCCGAGTCGGAAGAGCAGCAGGCCTTGGCAGCAATGGGACAAGCTCGTCGCACCCTCAAGGAAGCTCGTATGCGACAACATTCCGTGAAGATGAACAGGCAGTACTACCGCAACAATGATGCTGGTGGTCCTCGCAGCTCAGGGGGCGCAAGCAGGCCAGCTCCCTCCGCCGGAGGCAGCGCAGGAGCCTCCCGAGATGCCAACATGATCTGCTTGGGGTGCGGCGTGAAGGGTCACAGGGTAGCCAATTGCCCTAACAAGAACAAGAGCGAGGCCATGCACACCAATGATGTTACGAGCTCCGACAAGCAGCACGCTCCTTTTGTGTGCTACGCAGAGACAGGTGAGAGCGCTCTCACTGTGTTTCCCTCGACTGCCCAGGCAGTTGAGGAGGGCTATGCGATCATTGATGGCGGCGCCACAAAGACTTTGGGAAGCGTGAATGCTGTTGAAGCTCTCCTCCGCCGGAACCAGGAACACCACGGCTACCCAAGGCTCGCGGAGGTCGATAAGCACAACAAGCCTGTCTTCGGGTTTGGCAACAGCTCAGAAGGACGATGCATCAGTACATGTAAAGTTGGTGTGCAGGCCGGCGGCCAAGCCGGGCAGGTGCAAATTCATGCTCTCGATGAGGGCACGGGGCCCATCTTGCTCAGCATAGACGCGCTGAGACGGTTGGGAGCCATCGTCGACTTCAAGGAAGATTTGCTCGTGCTGACAGCCGTCAACGACAAGAAGATCATCCCTCTTCGCCGGTCCTCAACAGGCCATCAGCTCCTCTCGCTGGTAGAAGACCTTTTTCATGAGGCCCACGAGGCGAAGGAACGGATCCCGAGCTTGCGCAGTTTTGTTTCACAGTCGTCGTAGGGACAACTCCTCCCGGATCTCGATCCTGACGAGAAAAGGGAGGGCCATTGTAGAGATTCAGGAAAGAGTAGTGCAGGAACTTCTGAACATCGTTGTGTTGTTAGGTCATGTGAGCAGGTTTGTTTAGACATGACACCAGTGGTGCGAGAGCCAGCAGTGGAAGTGACAGCCAGTGCAGCGACTGTGATTGCGAATGTCCCGGTGAGCACCCTTCTAGAACCTGCAAGTGCCTGCCGGGATGTCAGCTTGCCAGGCTCAGAAGCTCACGTTTGCGATCAGGTTGCTCCTCCCTCGGCGGTTCAACATGGAGCGTCTTACTCGCCCCGAGTTGGTGCTCCATCTCCGGGCCTTGGGCGAAGAGAGTCCCGAGAACTGGACTCGCTTGGAAATCAAGCAGCGGATCCAGGAGATCAACGAGGAAAATCCCTCCATGGTCACCGCGGCTCCGAACAAGACGGCCCTGGAGACCCAGATGGCGCAGCTCAGCAAGAACAGTCGCAAGAAAAGCACCCTGCGCGAGTACTTGGAGAAGGAGCTGCACATCGAGGTGTCCGACATGGACACTGTGGCGGCCATGCAACGCAAGGCTACCAACAAGATCCTCCAGGAGTGCCCGGTCCACGGCTCCGACGCGATGGGGTTTGGGAAGTACTCCCAGCTCAGCCTCCAGGAGACCTACTTGAAGGACCCCGACTACTGCCGTTGGGCACGCGCTACCAAGGCAGAGGGCCCGTGCAACATCCGGTTGGAGCGGTTCGTGCGTTGGTTGGAGAAGACCGAGGAAGAGGGCGGCCCCAAGGAGATGATGACCGAAACGATTCCGAAGATCGCGCGCTCCAAGGCCCGAGGCTACAAGACGACTACACCGAGCACGGCATCCAGCAGCAGTGGGCCCCCAGTTCCCACTCCCGATCCACGCGACGAGTTGCTACTCAAGATGACAGCAGCCCTACAGGACCTACGCGAGGAGGTGGATCAGTTGCGGACCGAAAGGCCCCGCAAGGTGACTTCGAATGCCGAGAAGTAGACGGTGTCCAAGGAGCGGGCCCTGCCGATGTCGTCGGCGGGGATCGATCACAGTTTTTGACCGCAAACGCCGCCGCAGCCTTAGAACACAAGTCGTGGCGCACTCTTTCACAAGCGTTCCAGGACCTAGCAGGGGTTGCGCGCTTGAAGTTGTTAGAGTGTAGCTGTGACTCGGAGAGCATACTGACACAAGTGTTTCAGCAGAGGTCTGGGAAGCATGAGAGTGCGGCTAGAGCATCGACTTGGAACGGTGCCGATCTTGCTACGACAAGTGGCCTGCAACTGTTGTTGGAGCAGATTAGGGTGTTGAATCCTGAGCATGTTTGGATTTCTCCCCCTGATAGTGCGTTTTCTCCCTTGCAGAGAGCTAACCAACGAAGCCCTCAACAGGTGAAAGAGCTGAAGCACAAACGAGAGCAAGCCATTTGTCTGTACCATCATGTTCGAGAAGTCATGCGAGTTTGTACGCAGCTGGGTATTCATTGCACTTTGGAGCTCAGCGAAAAGAGCGAGGCATGGCGTCTCCCTGTGATGCAGGAGATTCAACATGACATGGGGTATCATGTGTCAGTGACTAAGGGTTGTAGTGTTGGGTTGTCCGATGCCCAAGGCCGAATGCTTCAGAAAGGTTGGCGCTTGGTTACCTCACACAAGACACTGGCTGAGTGTATGCATAAGCGCTGCATGTGCCCGACTTCATATGTGCATGCTAAGGCTGAGGGTTGCGATGCCAAGCGAACGGCTAGGTACACTTCGGAGTTTGCTCGTCTGGTGTATCAGGCACTTCAGGAAGAGTTGAGTTTTTATGGTGTGCTTCAGGAGTGTGAAGGGTTGAGTCAGCTCCCAGAGTCTTTCGGACGAGGAGATTCGTGCACCTGTGAAGATGCTTTCTTAGAGAAGCACCAGCTTCTCTGTGGCAGCTGCCTCTTGGGCAGGGATGTTGTGCCAGGGGCAACGGAGGAGCCTGATGGTGCTGCAGCCTTTCAAGCTCACCTTACCCAGATACCTGAAGCACCAAGCGAACTGGAAGCCCGTAGGATCTGCCAACTTCCGAAAACCAGCCTCAAGAACCTCGAAGAGTACCTTCAAGGGCATGCCCCTAGGCAACATGCGTCTCGTAGACACCAGGTCCTGAACCAACAAGGGTCCTACTTCACGTATGGTACGTACTCCTATGGCAATCAGTATGGCCTGACTTCCCGAACTCACCAAAACCCCGAAATGGTCCGCATGATCAACAAAGTGATAAGAGAAACCTTCCCGGAAAACTTCGTATGGACCGCCTTCACGTTGAACCTCAACTCGGCTCTGCCGATGCACAAGGACTGTCACAATCATGATAAGTTCCCAAATTGTAGTGTGGGTTTGGGATCGTATTCGGAAGGGGAGCTTTGGATTGAGGCTTCGGAAGGTCATTTGGAGGGCGTTTCTGAAGTGAGATACACAAGAGTAACGGAGAAGCTCTGATGGGGATCAAGGTGAACATTTATCATAAGCCCACGACGTTTCATCCGAAGAAGTGGCATCAAACATGCCAGTGGCAGGGACAGAGATGGGTCTTGACGGCTTATGTGAGTCGAGGGTTGGAAGAGTTTTCGGAGGCGGAACTTCAGCAACTGCGGATGCTAGGTTTCAAGGTCCCGACCCGAAAAGCCTGGAGCCTTGAAGCAGAATGCAGTCCTACAGCAGCTAGCAAGCATCATGTATCTACAGGCTCCGTGGAGGCTCCATTAGCTACTGCGTATGCCATTGGGGACCCTCCTCAAGCCACCAGAAGCGAACGACGTAGAGAAGATGAGCGCATCCGGCGCCAATTGCATTTGTTGCATTGCGCCTCGGGACATGGAAGTTTGAAACACCTCATTGAAGCTCTGAAACGAAGACGGGCACCCCCACGGGTGCTGGAACTTGCGGAAGCTTTCAAATGTCCCACTTGTGAAGAGCGTAGCAAACCCCCGCCGAGAGCTCAAGCCACGTTGGAGCCTTTGCCACCTAAGTACTGTACCATCAGTGCGGATGTAGGTCACTGGGAACACCCTCACAAGAAGGAAGCGGTGCAATTCATGCTGATCATTGATGAATGCTCGAGATACAGGGTAGCCCGAGTTTTGAGCAAGGGTTCCAAGCAACATCCGTCTGCGAACACATGTATCCAATATTTGCAAGAAGGCTGGAGCCAGTATTTTGGGTATCCGAGGGCCCTGCGGGTAGATCCCGCAGGAGTGTTTAGAGGACGTCAGATTTTGGATGCCTACTGCGACAAGCATGGGGTGTATTTAGACATCATCCCGGGCGAGGCTCACTGGAAGAATGGCACATGTGAACAAGCCATTCAGGGAGTGAAAGAGTTGATGACTCGCTTGTGTGACTTTGACCCCGAGCTGACACCAGAGATGGCACTGTCGGAAGCCATAACTACGTTTAATCACCGTGACATGGTCAGGGGTTTCACACCAGCTCAGCAGGTCATTGGCCGCAACGCGGACGACACCGACCGCTTCGTGGAGGCCAGTCAAGGGTTACCTCCAGGGCTCCTCATTGAAAATCCCGAGGGCGAGTTCGAGAGAACAGTGAAGCTACGCACCGAAGCAGAGAAATATCATGCTGAGTGGCACGCGCGGCAGCGCTTGACCAGGGCAAGGAACTCTCGAGCACGTCCATGCTACAATTTTCAACCGGGAGAGTTGGTTTTCTTTTGGCGCACGCAGGAATCAGGGCACCCTGGAACGCGCCAGGGGCGTTTTCTGGGACCAGCACGGGTCCTGGCTACTGAAAGCCGGGCCTCCGAGACTGGGGAAATTCGGCCTGGCGGCGCCATTTGGCTGGTGCGTGGCCGATCTCTCATTAAGTGCGCACCCGAGCAATTGCGAAGGGCAACTGAACGCGAGGAGATGCTCGAGGCCATTATGACCCAGCAGGGACAAGCTACCCCGTGGACCTTCACACAAGTGGCCTCCTCCATTGGTGGCAACCAGTATGAAGATATATCTGAGGAAAAGCCAGATACGAGCGAGTGGCATCGAGCCCAAGATGCCACCCAGGAGGAACAACCGACGAGGCTACGGGTGACACGGAAGCGGCCACCTACGACGACACGCTGGACGCTGGACACCATCGGGGACGAGACCATGGAGGATGCAACAGAGGAGGACCATGAGCATCGACCTCCTCATCCACGACGCGAGCAGGCCGGACAGGCACAGCAGCTGACAGGCGAGTGTTGGTGGGCTACAGTCAAGGAGCATCAGTGGCCTGATCACGAGGCCAGTTTCTGGAGCGATCATCGAGCAGCCGTGGAGGTGGATGTGGAATTGCCAGCCGGCAAGAAGAAGCTTCAGTATGCGGCCAGGGACTTCGAAAACTACTTTGCGCATCAGTTGAAGCGCCGGGCAGTCGAGGTTTCTGAGAGACGATTGACTCCGGAGGAGCTCCAGGCCTTTCAACAGGCCAAACAGGTGGAGGTGAAAAACTTCATCGCAGCAGAGGCCTTCCAGGCCTTGCCACCTCACCTGCAGCCTGCTCGTGAGCAGGCTGTGGGGATGCGTTGGATCCTGACGTGGAAAATTCGAGAAGATGGGAGTCGCAAAGCGAAGGCCAGGGCGGTGCTGCTTGGGTATCAAGACCCAAGCTACGAACATAGGAGCACCACGGCTCCTGTTATGACTCGTCAGTCCAGACAGATGATCTTGCAGCTGGCAGCTTGGAAAAAGTGGAGGCTGCGGAAGGGGGATGTAAGCGGGGCTTTCCTTCAAGGCCGTGAATACCCGGATGTCCTCCATTGCATTCCCACCAAGGAAATCTGCGAAGCTATGAGTATCCCTGAAAACAGCGTAACAAGGTTACGCCGAGCCTGCTACGGCTTAGTCGACGCTCCACTTGAATGGTACCGTACAGTAGACGCCTTTTTCCAGGAAATCGGACTGGAAAGGACCCAGTCAGACGCCTGTGTCTGGTGCTATCGGCATGAAGGACGGATGCATATCAGGACATGTCGACGA